TTTAATACATTGTAACACTGATATCTGTCAGGAAGCCCTGAATAACCCTTCACATGTATATATTTTTTAAAAGAAGACAACCTAAGGTATTAAACTTGAGGCATTTTTACTCTTTTTATGCTCTTTTCATGCAACCATTTTACCACCAATCTATGCCAAAGTTAAACAAAATAAAATAATTGGTTATTTTTTTGACACACATAGCAATTTAAGAATACATGCACTGAGAAATTTAAGGGTTATTGCCAAAAACCACCCCAATATGTGTTCAGCAACATCTCATGAGTACAGTGATAACACCTATGTATAGGTGTGTCGGGTTCTCTGGGGGCTAAAAGACCGTATTTGGACGGTGCGCATTCCAGTTTCCCAACTTGAGATTTTCACAGCTGGTCATCATGCACCCATGTCCTATTTGAGACATTTTTGAAGCCAGCCAATGTAATTTACCCCCATCAAACCATATATTTTTGAAAAGAAGACACCCTAGGGTATTTCAAATGGTGGTATTTTAACATTTTCCATGTACTTTTAATAAGATTAGGGCAGCTCTACAACATATCGACTGGCATAAACTCCTTAGTGATAAAAACACTGAGGAAAAATGGAAACTATTCAAACAAATATTAGAAAGGTACATTTCACAGTATGTACCATTGGGTAATAAATATAAAAGAAACAAATTAAAACCAATGTGGTTTAGTAGAGAAGTAAAACAAGAGATTAAAAATAAGAAAAGGGCATTTAAAGCATTTAAATCGGACAAATCAGAGGCATCCTATATAAGATATAAGGAAGCCAATAATACTTACAAAAATGCAATTAAAGTGGCTAAACCAGAAAATGAGAAATTGATAGCCAAAGAATGCAAAACCAACCCCCAAAATTTTTTCAAGTATATCAATTCTAAAAAAACAAAAAATGAAAGTGTAGGTACACTGAGAACAGAGATGGGTCTGTTAGTCAATGAAGACCAGGAAAAGGCAGAAATTTTAAATAACAATTTTTCTTCAATATATATTAATGTGGGTCCTATGGCAAGAGATAAGCAAATGATTACTGCAACAAACTTGCAGATAACTTGTGATTGGATAACTCGAGACAAGGTGTTACAGCTATTAAAGAAAAGTAATGTAAATAAAGCTCCAGGGTCTGACAGTATTCACCCACGAGTACTTAAGGAGCTAAGTGGGGAAATAAGTGAACCTCTGTATTTAATTTTTCAAGATTCTTTTGTTTCAGGTATTGTACCAGAGGATTGGAGGAAGGCAGATGTTGTTCCTATATTTAAAAAGGGTTCAAAATCCTTGCCTGGAAATTATAGACCTGTGGGCTTAACCTCTGTGACTGGGAAGTTATTTGAACGGCTATTAAGGGATAATATTCAGGAATTCATTAGGAAGAACTGTGTTATTAGCAATAATCAGCATGGTTTTATGAAACATAGGTCATGTCAAACTAGCCTAATTGCATTCTAAGAAGAAGTAAGTAGAAGTATAGATCAGGGTGTTGCAGGGGATGTGATCTACTTGGATTTTGCCAAGGCATTTGATACGGTTCCTCACAATAGGTTAGTCTTCAAACTAAAAGAAATTGGTCTAGATTAATATTCTTGTTCTTGGGTAGAACATTGGCTTAAGGATAGAGTACAACGAGTTGTCATTAATGGTAAATTTTCAAGCTGGACAAAAGTGATAAGTGGTGTCCCTCAGGGTTCTGTTTTGGGACCGCTTCTATTTAACAAATTTATAAGTGATCTTGAAATGGGCATTGAAAGCCATGTATCAGTGTTTACAGATGACACAAAACTTTGTAAAGTAATAAAATGCGAGCAGGATATTGCCTTGCTGCAGAGGGATTTGGATAGATTGGGGGACTGGGCACTAAAATGGCAGATTAAATTTAACGTAGAGAAATGCAAAGTTATGCACTTAGGGGTTAAGAATGCACAAGCAATTTACAACCTAAATGTTATTGAACTAGGGATAACCACACATGAGAAGGATTTGGGAATTGTTATAGACAACAAATTAGGCAGCAATATGCAATGTCACACTGCCGTTGCTAAGGCCAGTAAAGTTTTGTCATGTATAAACAGAGGCATAAATTCTCGAGACCACACATTGAATATGCTGTGCAATTTTGGACACCTGTTCTAAAGAAAGATATCATGGCACGAGAAAACGTGCAGAGATGAGCTACAGAATTGATAAAAGGAATGGAACATTTTAGTTATGAAGAAAGGTAAAAAAATGTAAATCTCTTTAGTTTGGAAAAATGGCTCCTGAGAGGGGATATGATAACATTATACAAATATATTCGGGGCCAGTACAAACCATTATCTGGAAATCTATTCATAAACAGGGCTATACATAGGACACGAGGTCACACATTTAGGCATGAAGAAAGACGATTTCATCTAAGGCACAGAAAAGGTTTTTTTTACAGTAAGAGCAATAAGGATATGGAATTATTTGCCTGAAGAGGTGGTTTTGTCAGAGTATATACAGATGTTTAAACTGCAATTGAATAAATACTTGCAAAAACATAATATAAAGGGATATAATTTCTTATTAGTGGGGTAATAGCTGCTTGATCCAAGGAGACATCTGACTGCTATTTTGGGGTCAAGAAGGAATTTTTTCCTAGTTTGTTGAATAATTGGAAGCGCTTCATACTTGGTTTTTTGCCTTCTTTTGGACCAACAGCAAAAACATATGGGAGGAAGGCTGAACTTGATGAACGCAAGTCTCTTTTCAGCTATGTAACTATGTAACTAATTCTACCACCAGTCTTTTATAAACTTTTGGGTAGTCATTTTTTTGTGTTATTTTTCTCTCACATTGTATTTTAGGCATGGATTCTCAGTTCCTGTTATGTGTTACTGAAAAAGAACACCCAATATGTGTTCAGCAACATCTCCAGAGTACAACAGTGCCCCCAATGTACAGGTTTTATGGGTTTTTGCAAATGTACAGGGGTCAAATGTAGGGCTTTCCTCTTTTCCATGTTGGCACATTGAAATTTGCCAGATTGGTTTGCTGGGCCTATGTTGCCTTTTGCAGCCCAGGAATGATAATTAACCCCATCATGGTATACCATTTGTAAAAGTAGACAACCCACAGTATTCAAAATGGGGTTTGTCCAGTATTTTGTAGTAGCCACTTAGCCACAAACTCTTGCCAAAGTTAGCGTTCATATTTATTTTTTGCATTTTTTTTACACAAAAACTGCATTTTTACTGGTGATTTCATTGTTGTGATAAGTTTTTCTGTTGTAAACACTCATATTTGTGTTCAGCGAAGTCTCTCGAGTATAACAATACCCCCCATGTACAGGTTTTATGGTGTTTTGGAAAGTTACAGGGTCAAAATAGGGTTTGCCCAATTCAGTTTGCCAGATTGGTTTGCTGGGTCTGTGTTGCCTTTTGAATACATATGGTAGCCCAGGAACGTAAAATAACCCCATCATGGCATATCATTTTCAATGTAGACAACCCAGGGTATTCCAAATGGGGTATTTCCAGATTTTTGTAGTAGCCACTTAGTCACAAATGCTGGCCAAAGTTAGCGTTTTTATTTGTTTTTTTATAAAAATTTTTTTCCTATTTATATTAATTTTATATATATATATATATATATATATATATATATATATATATATATATAGATGTTTATACACATATACATATAATACGTGTGTGTGTGTGTGTGTGCGCGTGTGTGTATACACACACATATACTTTTATTTCCTATATATTTATAATATATTATAATTAAAGCATTTTATAATATATATATATATATTTTTTTTTTTATAAATCTTTATTCGATTTTCCATGGTACAAAAACATTATAAAACATACATACAATTAATAAACATAAAATGTTATACATTCACTATTATTACATTACAAATAACATTCTGCAAATGTGGGAAAAATACAGGACTGGTACCGGAATATTCTTATCTTAAATTTTGTATCTTTACTGCTATATACTCTAAAGAACATATATTACTCAGATTTACGTAAATGTCATTTTCAGATCCAAACATTTTTGTCCTAACAGCTTATTTTTATTCAAATTGCTTTTCCTCCAGCGTATACCCGTTTCAATTTTTATTTGTTTTGTCAGTTGATTCACCCACTGAGTGTAACATATTTCAGATAACTGTTTCCAGTTCCTTGCTACTAAAATTTTTACAGCTATAAAGCTGTGTGTATCCAAAAAATATTGCTGTGTTGTCAAATTTGGCCAACCCAAATGCAATATTGCTGTTACTGGTGTTAAAGGACCACTATAGGCACCCAGACCACTTCAGCTTAATGAAGTGGTCTGGGTGCCTGGTACATCTAGGATTAACCCTTTCTGCTGTAAACATAGCAGTTTCATAGAAACTGCTATGTTTACCTATGGGTTAATCAAGCCTCTAGTGGCTGTCTCATTGACAGCCGCTAGAGGTGCTTCCGCGCTTCTCACTGTGAAAATCACAGTGAGAAGA